GAGAACTGTCTGTTCAGTTCCTCTGCCCATTTTTTAATTGGGTTATTTGTTTTTTGTTTGTTGAGGCGTGTGAGCTCTTTATATATTCTGGACGTCAAGCCTTTATCAGATCTGTCATTTTCAAATATATTCTCCCATACTGTAGGGTTCCTTTTTGTTCTATTGATGGTGTCTTTCGCTGTACAGAAGCTTTTCAGCTTAATGTAGTCCCACTTGCTCATTTTTGCTGTTGTTTTCCTTGCCCGGGGAGATATGTTCAAGAAGAGATCACTCATGTTTATGTCTAAGAGGTTTTTGCCTATGTTTTTTTCCAAGAGTTTAATGGTTTCGTGACTTACATTCAGGTCTTTGATCCATTTTGAGTTTACCTTTGTATATGGGGTTAGACAATGGTCCAGTTTCATTCTCCTACATGTAGCTGTCCAGTTTTGCCAGCACCATCTGTTGAAGAGACTGTCATTTTGCCATTGTATGTCCATGGCTCCTTTATCAAATATTAATTGACCATATATGTTTGGGTTAATTTCTGGGGTCTCTAATCTGTTCCACTGGTCTGTGGCTCTGTTCTTGTGCCAGTACCAAATTGTCTTGATTACTATGGCTTTGTAGTAGAGCTTGAAGTTGGGGAGTGAGATCCCCCCTACTTTATTCTTCTTTTTCAGGATTGCTTTGGCTATTCGGGGTCTTTGGTGTTTCCATATGAATTTTTGAATTATTTGTTCCAATTCATTGAAGAATGTTGCTGGTAATTTGAGAGGGATTGCATCAAATTTGTATATTGCTTTCGGCAGGATGGCCATTTTGACGATATTAATTCTTCCTAGCCATGAGCAGGGGATGAGTTTCCATTCATTAGTGTCCCCTTTAATTTCTCTTAAGAGTGACTTGCAGTTTTCAGAGTATAAGTCTTTCACTTCCTTGGTTAGGTTTATTCCTAGGTATTTTATTCTTTTTGATGCAATGGTGAATGGAATTGTTTTCCTGATTTCTCTTTCTATTGATTCGTTGTTAGTGTATAGGAAAGCTACAGATTTCTGTGTGTTGATTTTGTATCCTCCTCTGCCCATTTTTTAATGGGGTTGTTTTTTGGGTGTTGAGGTATGAGTTCTTTATATATTTTGGGTTTTAACCCCTTATCAGATGAGTTTATGAATACATTCTACCATACTGTCGGGTGCCTTTTTGTTTTGCTGATGGTTACCTTTGCTGTATAGAACCTGTTCATTTTTTATTTTGTTTCCCTTGCCTTAGATGTGTTAAGGAAAAAGGTGCTCATCTTTATATTAAAGAGATTTTTGCCTATTTTCTTCTAAGAGTTTTATGGTTTCGTGACTTACACTTAGGTTTTTGATCCATTTTGAGTTTACTTTTGTGTATGGAGTTAGAAAATAATCCAGTTTCATTCTCTCACATGTAGTGTCCAGTTTTGCCAACACCAGTTATTGAAGAGGCTGTCTTTCCCCCATTTTATATCCTTGGCTCTTTTACCATATATTAATTGACCATAGATGATGCATGGGTTTATATTTGGGCTCTCTATTCTGTTGCATTGATCTATGGGTCTGTTCTTGTGCTAGTACCAAATTGTTTTGATTACTGTGGCTTTGTAGATCTTGAAGTCAGGGAGCATAATCTCCTCAGCTTTGTTCTTCTGTATCAGGATTGGTTTGGTTATTCAGGGTCTTTTGTAGTCCCATATGAATTTTAGAACTATCTGTTCTAGTTCATTGAAGAATGCTGTTGGTATTTTGATAAGGATAGCATTGAATCTATAAGTTGCTTTGGGAAGGATGGCCACTTTGACAATATTCTTTCTATCCATGAGCACAGGATAGATTTCCATTTTTTGGTGTCTTCTTTAATTACTCTCATGAGTGTCTTGTAGTTTTCAGAGTAAAGGTCTTTCACCTCACTGTTTAGATGATCATTTTCTTTATTCTCTGCCACACAGTGTACCATTTAATTAAATGTTGCTTTTTAAATGTGTTTATGATTTTTACTGGTCATGTCTCAACTGGAATGTGAACTTCCCTTAGGATTAGGACAGTTTCTTATACTTCTTTGTATAGCCATTAATTTCTCAAACATTGATTATTTCTCTTTTAAGGTATGGAAGAGAATTTATTTAGCTTTTTGAGGCTTTACTGTCACAATAATACATAACCTTGGCACTGTAGGATCCTATTAAAGTTTCATAAATTGCCTAAAGAAGGTAAACATTTAGGTTGATATTACAGGCTTTCAGAAATTAAGTTTGAGAAAGTTAATTATAGGAACTTACATACATGACTGTAATCAAAACAGTAAAATAACACGATATTCTTAATACGCCAGACAACATTAAATAAATTGCAATTATCTAGTCAAAACATGTATTTCTATGGTATATTCATTTTGACCTCTTATTTTCCTTTTTATACTCTTGTATTTTTTTCTGAATATAGATTAAAAAAAAATCTTTTGTGTTAAGTCCCCAGGCTTAATTCCACTGAGGGCCTCTATTACCTTGGCTATATTTTTATCATTTAGAGGAGGATAGTCTTATTAAGCTAATTATACTCCATCCAGTAACTTTGTGAGTGAAAAAAACATTAAGAGAATTAAGAAAAATGGAGTCATTATTTCACTAATCTTCATCCAATTTCAGGAAAATCACTTCCCAAAGGCAGCAAATCTGCCTTTTAAATTATTTCCATGCCTAAACAAACTGAAAGAAGTGAAATTATAGGAAACCTATGATAGTTTACTAAACATTGTGTGCTTTTAGTAGTTTTAACACTGGCAATACTTGATAATCGTGAGTAAATTAATAGGCTAACATTTCAAAATGTATACTTTAATAAGGATAAAGTATTTAAACAATTAGGTAAGCTTGTGGAGAAGCTGACCAAGATATATAAATTAGGAGATACAAGTGTCCATCTAAATTTTCAGTGTTTCATTTTTTTACAGAATATTTATTAAAATTGTTTAGTGTATGACTTCTCATTTGTCATTTTGGGAGTCCTTTATTGTATAGACTATTCTTTTGTCTGATGATAAACAGCAGCCACACTGTCAGTGATTATTCTGGACCTCCATGTTGGATAAGTTCAGTTTCTTCTTGAGACACAAGTTTCCTTCTATGTTTCTGAGGTAACACTTTTATTATTTCTGCCATGTCTGGTGGACCCCGATGCATTGGTCAGCATGGTGATTTACTTCCCTTAGAATGCTGTGAAATTGAAGAAGAGTGAGGTGGTAGTCCTTTTGATCTCAAAACTTCTGATACATTGGGTTTAGGATTCTCTCTTCCATCAGGGAACCTTATTAGTGGAGTATGTGCTCAGATGCAGCACTCCTGTGGCCTGGCTCGAACACTCAGCTCTATTACATATTAGTATTTTATTTTTCCTCTCTATTCCCTTCATCTGGCCTGTAACCACATGCTTACATTGGTGAGGGAGGACGCTGCCTGCGGGGCTAGTTCTCAGGTCATTCCCAAGACCTTGAAGGGCAAACATTGATTATTTCTATCAGTGTGGTAAATTAGAATAATCTCTCTTAGTTTTAGAACTGTGTTGGTGCAGAGTAGGAGCTCAACAATACTTGAAAGCATTAATTAGTGAAAAATATAAGATTGCCTTAATACATATATATTTTTTACTCAGGTATGTTCTGACAGGTGGAGTACAAATAGCAGGGAAACACTTATTAAACAATGCTTTTCTTCCAAACTCTTAACCTCTGTTTAAAACTGTCTAGAAAAACTGGCATTATGTGGGTCTTGTATGGAACCAGGGTGATAATCTGTGCTTTTAAACATGCTGCAAATGGAGAGGAGCTTATAAAACACGTTATTCATTTTTAGGCTTCTTGGTCTTGGCATCCTAATATGTAAAATGGGTTGGGTGGAGGAGAGGCTAGATTAGGTGATCTTTAAATTCAGTGTCTTAGCAATAAATATACTAGTACTCACTGGCGATCAGGATGTTTTCCAATATATAAAAATTATATTGTTTTATACATAAATTACAGAAATGTTAGGAAGCAAATTATATAGGGCTTAAAAAATACTGGCAGCAAAGTATATGACAGTTCCTCTTCTCACAATACTCTTCAAATTCCTGTCTCTAACTCCCATCAAAACAACCTGCCAACCTGGCAACATAGTACTGGTATGTCTTGTCTGGCCCACAGTTAAGGGGTAAGATAACTAGTTTTTTTCCACTACTCCAATCAGTAAAATCTAAGCTTTCCAGCTATGTGACCTTGAACATGACATTTAACTGTTATTTTCTCATCTGCAAAATAAGGATAATAATATGACCTGCATTTACATATTGCTTATGTGCCAGTTGCAGTTTTATGTGCTTTACACCATACTTAATAGTTTTTACCTCTTCTTGTCATTGTAAAATTAAATGAGACACCCGTCCCCCAAAGCATTTAGTACATTGATTATATCAGAGTAAGCAGTACATCACCTATTTTTTCCCTGGGTATAAATTATAGAAACTCCAAAGTTTATAATATTTAAAATTGTCAGAATTAAAATCAGTTGTCTAGTAGTGAGGAACCCCTGTTTTAATCTTTTGTTGTTCACTATAGGTTACTAAATGAGTTTTAAAACTAACTAGATTTTAAATTCCCACTGAGAAAACAGAACTTGTGAAACTTGATTTCTGACTGTAAAGTGAATTGGATGCTTTATTAGAAATCTTTGTAATTTGAGGTTATTGGATGAATTATATCACACACACACACAAAAAGACTGTTAAGGTGGTAAAATAGGACAGGTGTTATGATCACAGAAATGGTACAGCTTCCCAATTTTCTGATCTTTAAAAAGATATTGCCTGTATAAGACAATGGTTTGGGTTTTTATTTCAAATGAAACTATGTAGAAGAGGTGAATGTGTATCTCTGGATGGTACTCATGTTAAGATTCTCATATTTCTAAGGAACTATTAAGGTCAAGGTAATTTCTGAATAAGGAGTAAGATGATAGGGATTTAATCAGGGCCATAAATGTATTAAGTTAAGACTTAAATAGCATTTACCATGTGGTATTATTACTAGCTCCATCCTACAGGTTTGGAAACTGGCACAGTCTAACCATCCAAAGTCACCTGGATGGCCTATAGCAGAGTAGAGAGTTGAACATTGGCAGCCTGATCCAGTGTTCTTGGGTTTGTGCTCTTTAATCTTAACAAAGAGCAGAGAGGCTGGGGAAGCAGTTGGAGTAGTGGAAGAAAACAAAAAGGAATTAGAGAAATGAAGAGGTATAAAGACAAAAGAATCAAGGGACAGGAAAATACATCAAACTCCCTTTTCCTCCAGTCCTCCAACCACTAGAGAATGCTCCCATAATAGTTGTAGAACTCTATAATTACATGTAATAATTTATTGGTACCTGCTGGGGATGGGAGAAGAAGGTCAGGTTGGTATTACATTTGCACTTAAAAGAATGATGATGATTGAAAGGAGAATTGCCACAGCAATGATTATAATCTTTCTGAAGTGTTACCACCATATTCTCCTAGAAGTCTTTCTTGTTTTGGGGGATTCTTTGGCCTGAAATAAAAATAAACACATTTAATGGTATCTTTATATCTCTGGATTAATAGGCACACTCCAATACTTATATAGCTATCTGAAAGGGTTTTGATCAATTCCAGAAAGTCTCAATACATCTTCATAGCATTTTTTTTTTGGCCTCTCTAAAATGTTTAATCTCATGTCAGTATAATTCACAGGGGAGAAACAATTCAGTTCTTTCTTGTGTGCATGGTAAAACACACATACCATAAAATTTACCATTTTAACTATTTTTAAGTATACAATTCAGTGACATTAAATACACTCACAGTGTTGTGTAACTATCGCCATTATTACCAGGATTTTTTCATCATCCTGAGCAAAATACAATCTATATTTTCATATTTTAAAATTATAGTAAGAACACTGGTACAATTACAAATTCCAGTCAGTTGGGAAACTTCTCCCTTAATAGGTTGGTACCTTCCTAAACTCTCTATTAGCAAACATGTTTATGCCAGAACTCTGGAAGCATTCACAGATGTAGGTAAAGGGTTTTCAGATGTTAATGATTTATAAGTCTTAGAACTAGAATCTGAATCTATCATTCCTAATTCTTTAAAAAATTTTAACAAATGTACATCACAGTGGTTCAACAGTCCCCTGCCCACTCCCTTCCCTGTTAACCACTAGTCACTTCTCAGTGTCTGCATTTAATGCTGCTTTGTTCCTTCTGTTTTGCTTTGCTTTTATATTTCAGGAATAAGTGAAATATGGTATCTCTTTCTACGCCTAGCTTATTTCACTTGAGCATACCCTCTCTATCCATCCGTGTTGTTGAAAATGGCAGGATTTCTTTTTTTTTTCTTAAAAGTTGTCTATTTCTTTTAGGTTGTCCAATTTATTGGCATATAATCTTTCATAGTATTCTCTAATAACTTTCTGCTGTATTCGTTGTGATTATTTCTTCATTTCTGATTCTGCTTATGTATGCACACTCTCTTTTTTTTTCTGGATAAGTCTGGCTAGGGATTTATCTATTTTCTTTATTTTCTCAAAGAACCAGCTCCTGGTTTCATTGATTTTTTTCTATTGTTTTATTCTTCTCTATTTTATTTCTGCTCTGATCTTTATTATGTCCCTCCTACTGACTTTGGTTTTCATTTGTTCTTCTTTTTATAGTTTCTTTGTGAGTTTAGACTTTTTTATTTGTTTATTTGGGATTATTGTTTCTTGAGGTAAGCCTATATTGCTATGCACTTTCCTCTTAGAACTGTCTTCACTGCATCCCACAGATTTTGGGCTGTTGTGTTGTTTTCATTTGTTTCCATGTATTGCTTGATTTCTGTTCAAATTTGTTCATTGATCCATTGGTTATTTAGAAGCATGTAGGTTAACCTCCATGTGTTTGTAAGTCTTTTTGTTTTCTTTGTGTAATTTAATTCTAGTTTTATACTACTGTGGTCTGAGAAGCTGCTTGATACTATTTCAATCTTTTTAAATTTATTGAGGCTCTTCAGAAGTGACCTAGTAGAGATCTGTTCTGGAGAGTGTTCCATGTACATTTGAGAAAAATGTGTATCCTGTTGCTTTTGGGTGGAATGTCTGGATATGTTATGTTAAGTAGATATGTTAAGCCCATCTGATCTAATGTATTGTCCAGTGCCTCTGTTTCCTTATTTATTTTCTGTCTGGTTGATCTATTGATGTGAGTGTTGTGTTAATGTCTCCTGATATGAATGAGTTGGAATCTATTTCCCCCTTTAATTCTGTTAGTATTTGTTTTGCATATTTTGGTGCTCCTATATTGATTGCATAGATATTTATAATGGTTATATCCTCTGTTGACTGACCCCTTTATCATTATGTAATGTCCTTCTTTGTCTCTTGTTGCTTTGTTTTGAAATCTATTTTGTCTGATATAAGTACTACTACTCCTGTTTTTTTCTCTTATTTGCATGAAATATCTTTTTTCATCCCTTCACTTTTAGTCTGTGTATGTCTGGGCCTGAAATAAGTCTTTTGTAGACATATACATGGGTCTCGTTTCCTTATCCATTCTGCTACTCTGTGTCATTTGATTGGTGCATGTAAGGTGATTATTGATAGATAAGGACTTACTGCCATTTTATTAATTGTTTTCTGCTGGTTTTTATATCTCCTCTTTTTCCTTTCTTCCTCTCTTATTTTCTTCTTTTGTTGTTGATGGTTTTCTTTAATGTTGTAATTGGATTTCTCTTTTTAAAATTAATTTTTGTGTGTGTGTGTATTTATTGTGGGCTTTAGTTTGGTGGTTACAAAGGTTCAAGGGTAGCTTCTTTATTATATAATAGTCTATCTTAAACTGATGATTACCCTATTTCAAACGCAATCTAAAGGTACAGTTTTTCCTCCTACTTCCTCCTCCCATATTTTTTGTATTAGATGTCATAGTCTGCATTTTTTTGTGTATCCCTTGACTGATTTTGTGTATAATTTATTTTGCTTCTTTTGTTTTAATTTCTTACTTACCTGGTAATTAGTTGGCCTATCACCTTTACTGTGGGTTTATTTTCACTGGTAAAAGCTATTTAACTTTAGGATCATTTCCATCTACAGCAAGCCCTTTAACATATCATGTAAGACTGGCTTAGTGGTGGTAAATTCCTTCAACTTTTGTTTATCTGGAAATTCTTTAATCCCTGTTTCAAATTTAAATGATAATCTTGCTAGGTGGAGGATTCTTGGTTGGAGGGTACTTTTGTTTCATGAGATTAAATATATCGTGCCAATCCTTTCTGGCCTGAAGAGTTTCTGTTGAGAAGTGTGCTGATAGCCTTATGGGATTTCCTTTATAAGTACTCTTTTTTCTCTGTCTGCTTTCAACACTTTCTCCTTATCCTTGATCTTTGCCATTTTAATTATTATATGTCTTAGTGTTGTCTTGCTGGGGTTCCTTTTGTTAGGGGATCTCTGTGCTTCCATGACCTGAGTGTCTATTACCTTCCCCAAATTGGGGAAGTTTTCAAAAATTATTTCCTTAAAGAGACTTTCTGTTCCTTTGTCTTTCTTTTCTCCTTCTGGTACCCCTATTATGAGAATAGTGTTTCATTTGGATTGGTCACATAGCTCTCTTACCATTCTTTTATTCCTAGAGATCCTTTTTTCCTGTCTGTTCCTCAGCTTCTTTGTTTTCCTGTTCTCTAATGTCTATTTCATTTACTGTGCCCTCTACATGATCTAGTCTACTTTTAAATCTCTCCATTGTATATTATTTCAGATACTGTATTTTTCAGCTCTGGGTGACTTTTTCAGGTTTTCATATCTTCTCATTGAGATCTTGAATACTTTTAGTCTGTAAATCTGTGAGCATGTTTATGACTTTTATTTTGAAATCGTTATCAAGAAGACTGGTGATCTCTGTTTCATTTAGCTGTCTTTCTGGGGTTCTGTCTTGTAGTTTTGCTTGGATTGAATTCCTCTGCCTGCTAATTTTGTCAGGGTTTCTGTGTTGCTTCCTTTGTATTAGATGTCTTTGGCAGGCTTTCTGGTCTGAAGAGTAACAGCTTTGTGAAGAAGGTGCCCTGTATTTCCCAGAAGCTCAAGATTCTTTACTCTCTAGAGCCTGGTTCTATTTTGTAGGGGCCGCAGTTGTTGGCATGTCATGGGTTGGGGCACCCTTTTGTCTGGCTTTTGTAGTGGTCTAAATCTGGGGAGGCAGTTTGCTTGAGCTGCTGCCTTTGTGATCAGCTCAGGAATCTCTGTTGAGCTTGCTATAGTCTGGGCCTCCCTCTTCCTGGCCTGCAGTAATGGTGGGGTTGCAGGATTAATGGGGTAGGCAGACTGATGTGCCTCAGCTGGACACACAGCACTGGGTTTGGACACCCACCAGGAGGAAGGAGCTCCCAGGGATGGCTCCTCTAGGCACCTCTCTGGTTGGGCTGAAATGGAGTCAATCAACCTGGAAGAGTCTCCCTCCACCTTCCAGGCAGCTAAGCCTGCTGCTGCTGCTGGGCCAACTGGGTTAGTTCCCAGCAGCACGCAGGGAGGTGCTTTGGGGCTGCTTTGTCAGCAAGGGGGATGGAGCATCTAGAGCTCCTGAGAGTTCCTCACCCTTTTCTGTGTATTCAGCTCTACTTAATAAGCTTTACTAATTTTGTTACTTTGAACAAGTTACTAACTCTTTGAGCCTCAGTTTCCTCATTTTCACTTCACAATTTTACTTAAATGCCACTATCTCCTATCTCTAGACCTATTCCCCTTTAGTATGTTGTTTACCCCCAATGTACTTACCTCTTATCTAACATTATGTAAATTTTACTTATTTATTTTTAAGAATGAAGCTCCAGGAAGGCAGGTACTTTTGTTTCACTCAGTGCTATATTCCCAACAGTGCATGGCATAGAGCAGGTGTTCAATTAATATTTATTGAGTGAATAAATACATCTATTTATTAGATAGGGATAATGGTGTCTGCTGTATGATAGCTCAGATTATGGAGATTGAGATAGTTAATATGGTGTATATATACTGCCATATAAGAATAAATTATGCCATTATAATTACTATTTTTGACTGAGATGGATTTTATTAAGTGCAGGTAAAAAAGTTTCACGTCTTAACCTTACTAAACCTAAATAAAATAGTTCACTTTTATTAGCATGCAAAAAATAAAGAATTAAATGTCCAGTGGGAAGAAAATGAAACAAGAACACACAAATTGTAAAATCCCCCCCTTTTTCTCACTGCAGAAAAAAGTTTTATCTTCATTTAGTTCACTCCTTTTTGTTTTTAAAGCATACATAACTGTTTCTCATATAGCCATGATACCAATAAATTACTTGATGCTTACATGGACTTCTGCAGTCCGCCTCCTGGATAAGAAGTAAAACTATTTGTAACATATTTCAATAAACTTTCTGCATGCATCAAATCAGCCTTCTTATTCTCAGTATATATGCTATTCCAAAAGCAAAGTCAAGGTACATAATAACCATGTATGCTATAAATGGTATGGGTCCTGGTATGCTACTCAGGTGGCCTCATGATTCTACTCT